TAAAAAATAAAAAATAAATAAAATAAATAAGTAAATCTTTTAAAAAATTGAAAAAATTAAAAAAAAAAAAAGAATTCACCCAGATTGGAAAGAAGTAAAACTGTATTCATAGATGATATGATATAATATAGAAAATCCTAAGGAATAGGGGCGCCTGGGTGGCTCAGTCAGTTAAGCGTCTACCTTGAGCTCGGGTCGTTATCCCACGGTCCTGGGATGGAGACCCAGGACAGGCTCTCTGCTCAGCGGGAAACCTGCTTCTCCCTCTGCCCGCCGCTCCCCCTGACTTGTGTGCTGTCTCTCTCAAATAAATAAATAAAATCTTTATTTAAAAAAAAGAAAGAAAATCCTAAGGAATACACACACACACACACACACACAAACAGAACTAATAAATGAGGGGCACCTGGGTGGCTCAGTTGGTTGGGATTCTGCCTTCAGCTCAAGTCATGATCCCAGGGTCCTGGAATGGATCCCCACGTTGGGCTCCCTGCTCAATAGGGGGTCTGCTTCTCCCTCCGACCCCCCCCACTTGAGCTCGTTCTCTCTCTCTCTCTCAAATGAACAAATAAAATCTTAAAAAAAAAGAACTAATAATTGAGTTCAACAAAGTTGAACTCAAAATACAAGATCAGTACACAAAAATCATTGTTTTTTTGTACTGTAGCAATGAACAATCCAAAAATGGAAAAGAAAGTAATTTCATTTATAACACCATCAAAAAAGTATAAAATGCTTAGGAATAAATTTAACAAGGGAAGTGTAAGATGTACATTGAAAACTACAAACTTCATTTAAGGAAATTAAAGAATGTGTAAATAAATGGGAAGATTGACTGTGTTCATGGAGCTAAATATTGGAAAGGCTTATTTTATTAAGGTTTAATATTGGAAATATGGTAATACTACTCAAATCGATCAATAGATTCAACATATCCCTATCAAATCCCTTGCTGCCTTTTTTGAAGAAATTGACAATCCAATCCTAAAATTCATATGGTAATACAAGAGACCCAGAATAGCCAGAACAGTCTTGAAAAAGAACAAAGTTGGAGGACTCACATTTCCCAGTTTGAAAACTTATTACAAAGCTACAGTTATGATGTAGACTAGCATAGGATAGACATGTAGATCAATGGAATAGACTTGAGAGTCCAGAAGTAGGCCTTTATATTTATGGTCAATTGATTTTTTTTTTAATGTAGGCTCCACACCCAGCATGAGCTTGAACTCAGGACCCTGAGATCATGACCTGAGCCAAA